AATCAATCAATCTGAAAAGTAAAAATATAATTAAAATCACTTCAAAACTAAATATCCCTAGTAAAGCGATAACTATCTTTTGGAAACTTCAACTTCATCATAACTGCCCACAGACAAACGAATGGAGAAAGCAGAAAAAGTAACAAACTGCACAGACTGCCCCATATGCCACAACAAAGAAACGCTAGAACACGCCATCCTGGAATGCAAACACACGAACCTACTCTGGACAACACTAAGTAACAAATGTTCTCTAACACGAACGCACAATATAGAAGACATCAAATGGCCATGTGAGTATACAGAGACTAAACATCAACTAACAATCCTAATCACCGCGATCAATGCAATCTGGACAAGCAGAAATTTATCCTATTACAAAAAAAACCAACGAACAAATAACCTTTTCTATTTTTAAGAACCTAATGGAAAACCAACAACAACTGCTAGAGTACAAAAGGCAGAACTTTACGAATATTGAAAAATAACTGGATAAATACTGGACTCCTTATGGAACGTAATGGCTCACTATAACTAAACCTGTAATGCCGTTGTAAATTATTTTGAATGTACAGTAACTATTTTATGACCAACTATTTTGGTATAATTTCTGTATAAATAATATATTGTTCTGATAATAAAATTATTTTATTTATAAAAAAAACCGGATGGCCGAGCGGTCAAACTGGCAGCCTACCGCTCTGAAGGATCCGAGATCAAAACTGGACGGGCCGTCTTAGTGCCCACAGGACGGAAAGAGTTAAGGCGTCCCTCTACCGCTCTGAGATCCGGGATCGAATCCGAGCAAGCAATTGCAGGAGTTTTGCATGGGCGGTAAGTCCTAATTACGGTGTCGTCCTAATACCTCATTGTCCCAGTCGCCCTGTTGTGGATCTAGCCGAACCTCAGGTAGGTATGAAAAAAAGGCTCACTTATTCCCTTAGTGCCTACAGGGCAAAAAATGAAAAAAAAAACTATTATTCAAAAATTTTATTTAAATTTCAAAATTAAAACTATTACTCTCTCTTCAATTCATTTGAATATTTTAGAAAAAAATTACCATATCAAGTTCTAAAATTCTTTATTAAATTTATACATGTACCCGTCCTATACATCCCAGTGGTCTTTATTGTGGGTCTTACCGAACTCGCAAAAAATAGATCAAAACACTCTTCATGCTTACAGGATAGAATAAAAATATTTTTTCATATAGTCACTACAAGCTAACTTTTTAATCATGTTGAAGTTCAGATAATCCCCCGTGAAATACCAAGTTAAAATTGAGATAAATCAAATTACTGTACTACTGTATCTATTATAAGTCAGCCTTCAATGAATTTCTTTAAACTCCATCTGATGGCACTGAAAAGACCTTTCTATCAAGCCCTTAATGCTTTCGGCCAGGCCCAAAATGAAAGCGACGAGACCTATATATCACCCGAATGGACTACTCCCGAAAAAATTCCTGTTTTTCGACCCCCACGTTGCTCACAACGGTAGCTCACGCTACCCGTCTATCTAATTATTTTAATTTTCAAGATGAAACAATTTGAGTAATTTTTAATGGAAAACAACAACGTTCGATCCCCACGTTGCTTTACAACCTGCTTCGATGTTTTCTTTGAAAGATTGATCCATACTCTCTTCAGCACGAATGAAGAATAAATGATGCGTCTACGGAAACATGTATGAAAAATCATGATTTCGAAAGGATTCTTCACAACGATAAAAAAACAAAACTTTCATTTTATTACAATCATAATACTGTACAAATAATGCTATATATTCTACAAATAATTCACCCAGCACGTGTTAAACAGTTTGGCTAGTCGCTTCACCGTTTTGCAATACGTAGAATTATACGGCATAATTGAAAGTGGGAAGGAATACAGTTTATTAAAATACTTTAATTCTAAAAAAATAATCAGGACAATTTAGATAAAAAATTTGATAAATTTCAAATTTGTAAAATTGCTAGATTTATCACTAACAAAATGTTATCTCGATACGACGGTCGAGCAGTTAAGATGGTAGCATACTGCTCTGGGGGCCCGGAATCGAATCGGATGGGTCAAAAAAACCCAGAAATTTTTCCGGAACGGTTCGTCCAGATACGTCGATCCCCAAATGTTTTTTTGCCTATAGCTTTATTGAAATCTATGCCTCCACCCGATTGAGAAAAGCCGGTCTAAATAGGAACTCCTATAGCCTAACAGAAATGTCTTCTTAAATTAGAGGATTTGTCGTGTTTTAATTTTAATCCCAATTAGACTAATTATAATAAATCATAAATAAACCAACATTGTTATCCAGTCAACTTAGAATATCATTTAACTTTATTATGCAAAATGATGTCACATCTTATAATTTCAAACGCGCGCTCGTTATCTTTCAACAAGATGGTACTTGAGATTTAGATGAAATTTAAAAAAACTGCTTAATAGTTATTGCTCACTAAAACTTCAGAATGGAATTAGCAAGTAAAATAGCTGATAATCCAATAGAGTTGTGGCCATTTTAATTAAAACCATTCTAAAAACGGGAGGAAAAACTGACCTCCACAAATAAAACAATATAAACAAATGTCTATCAAATCTGTAGTTTCTAACACTAAAATATATTTTGAGGTAGACCAATCCAAATTTGAATAAATCAATCTAATAAGTAAATTCAAACAGGCTGAACACAATTTCTTTAGAACAAAAAATTGATGCACTTTTAGTTAAAATGCATTTTTTAAATTTATAAATTGATAAAGATAACTTCTAATTCAATTAATCAATATTTCTTTCTTTCTTAGTTGAAATACTATTAAATACACAAGTTTCCAATAAGATCTAATGTCATCTTGTATAAGTTTTGTGACAATGTTTTTATTGTCATAAAAACTTAACAGCAATTAATATCAGGAACCAATAATCTTTGTAGCAAATTCTTGGTAGTAACAACTGGCATGAGTTAAGAAAATTCAAGAGTTTTCGATATTCCATTTTGGAAATTTCTTTTTATATTGTCCAGAATTTGCTGCATATGAAAGCTTTTTTGCTCTTAATATCAAGTAGATGTGTGTCAAATATTAAGTTTTAAACTAATTACTAATTAATGGCTGACTTATATTGAAAAATATAAATTTATCACCATTTGACAAATAATTTCTAATTAATATCAAAAATCATTCCTAATTGAAGCAATTTTGTCTTTGTTACTGGATTGAGTCCTAGTAATGCTTTTTGTAAGTTTTAATAACCTTATTTACATTAAAAAATAAAACATTTATTTAATCCAATGTACATTGTCCTTCATTTAATTAACATTTCTTCATCAATCTAGTTATTTTTTGATGTCTTACAAGAATTAGATTTTGATTAAAGAAATTTCAATGTGTTTCTGGATTAACTTGTTTTGAATTAAAACTTTTTGAAGAGATCAACAGTTTGTAATCTTAGGAGCCAGATTAGGGTTATAAAAAGGATTAGGAATTTTCTAATTAGGCTTTATAAATTTTTTTTGGGTGGCTATTGCAATGTGGGGTTGAGCATTATCATGTAATAAAATAATCCTCTTCCTGTTTGTCAAATATGGATGTTTTTCTAGGAGTTCTTCAAATGCAGATAGTATAAAATAGCATAAACTGTTTCATTTGGCTTCAATAACTGAAAACGCAGTATTCTCCTCATATATTCCACCATACAAATAACAATACCTTTCAAGGATGAAGACCACAATTTGGTTCTAGAGCAACCTTTGGATTTAACTATCAATATTGTTTTTCACAAATGACATTAGTGTACAATACATACTTCCATCCCAGTTACTATTCTGTCCAGAAATGGGGTTTATTATTGCTTATTAAGAAGCAAAACATACATCAATCTGGATGATTAGGTTCAAGTAAGGTGATACGAAATCCATAACCCATACTTGTTTATCTTTCCTAGTGCAATTGCTTAACTGCAGTTGATTGCACACTCCATTTTTCTGCAACTTTTCATCTACATAATTTTGGATAAGCTTTCCCTATTGAAACAACTTCAGCATTTTCTAAGCTAGAAGATTGTGCTGAGTGAGGCTCATATTCCAGATTGATTATCCATCCTTAAATTTCTTAAATCAACACCGACATTTTCTGATACTTGCAGTGTGTATGGCTTTACTATAGTGTTAGTTTTTAAACATTCATATGACATTAGATGTCTTAAATGTTCTTCTGAAGAGCTCATTCTGATTTAACTTTTTAAAAATAATGTCAATTATTAATCAAAAACTGTTATTAAAACCTTTAATTAAAAAAATCAGTACTTCAGCTGATAGGTGATTATATAAGTTATGCTATAACATGAAAACAATTAAAAACATTACTTACAACTCAACCCAACTGGAAATAGTTTACAAATATCTAATAGGATACATTTGAATTGACAAATTTAACTATTGCTTAACCTATGCTAAAAACTATTCATTTTATACTTACCCATTTTTTATTCAGGGTTGAAAACAATTTAACACACTTATTTTGAATATATTGTATTTCTTAAATGGCAAATTTACAATTTATTCATACCAGTTCTCTAATTATACATTTACCAATTAGATGATTTAAGAATAGTTAAGGCAACAAGGTTTTTGAATATCTTTTGTGTATTTGTATATATACATTATTGAAATAAATTTATTGACAGATCTAGAAAATCTTGTAGAGACCAGGAAAAAATGAAGCAGCACTAATCTAATTTTCAGTAAACTCATTCAAGACAATAATAATTGAAATGTTTGCAATTGTTATTTTCATGAATGATGAAAATTTTTAAATTTGTTGATTATACAGAAGTTATAACTCCATCTATTCATTTTATAATACTGTTAAAAATGCTCAATATTTATTTAAAAATAAAAATAATAAATTTACAATTAAAACTTCAAATACAAAAGATGACAAAGTATGACTGAATTTTATTTCAAAAGAATGTTAAATTTGACATGTCAAAAATATAGAAAAAAAACTTAATTTTATCCATTATTTCAAACTTTGAAATTGTTTAATTTTGAAGTTTAACTTCAAACTTATTTAAAGAAATTGCTTCAATTATTTTTCTAAAAACCTGATGTAAAACTTAAAATAAAACTTCTTTCCTCTTAATTCCACCAACCCATAGAAAAAATTTTTTTTTTATTTCAGGATGTATTTAAGAATATTTTTATTGTCTATTAAACTCCAGTGAAGACTTCGATATCAAGAGATGGAAATTTAATCCCAATGTTCAAAATAGATCACACTATTTTTAAATAGAGTTTATGCTTCAAGATCATGAACAAACAACATTTCTGATCTTCCTAACCCAACCTGTGCAAATGTTGGTGGATCTGGTTGATCTGGAGTTGGTTGACAAGGTAGAACTTTCCTAGGAAAATTTGTCACTACTTGGAAGAAATCTGGTGATTCGTCATGACAGAAGATGAAATAATATAAATACTGAAAAATATTTTCAATGAAAATTTTATAAATTATTTTCTGATTATGAATAAATATTATAATAAATATATTTATATTACTTTGAGAGAATGATTTTTTTGGAATCTTCTCTCTAATCTTGTTCCCACTGGAAGTTTAATCATTACATGAACAGTATCTGGCTGGTCAACAGGAGGCTCTTCTGGTATCTGATCAGCAAGTTCTATTTTTTGACGTCTTATTTCCTAATATGAATATAAAAACAATTGAATCTTATATTTGTAATAAAATCAAATTTTGTTTAATTAAATTATGAACTTTTATGCTGACATTTTACTTTGAATCTATAACATGCTCTTCATTAAATTGAATGGTCCATTTGTAATAAATTTTGGATCATATTAATACAAAATGTAATATTTATGACAAAACATATGATGTAAATTTTATTTTATATTTGTATTTTGGGCACAATAGACTAGAGAAGATATAAAGTGTATTTTGATGCATTAGTTATATTTTAATAAATTTAGAGAAACTCTCATTACCATAAAACAATTACATTAAAAATATATTAATAAAAAGTATGCCATGTAAAATCAAATCTGCAATTCAAAATTATGTAATCAATTCATTAACAATGTTTTATAGGTTGTATTAAAAAAAACTTAAAATGAATAGACAAAATAAATGAACCAAAATAAAGAGAAAATGAATAGCATGTGAAATATGCAATTCATCTACAATGATGATAAATTATAACATCATCTTTTATAATTTTAATTGATAAAAATAGATTATATTTGTTTCAATAAGTATAATAATAATAGAATTCAAGAATTAATATAATTATAAAGTAATTATACTATTAAATGTTTACAATTTATAATTTTGAATAATAACAAAAATGGATTATAAGAGCTATAAACATAGTCTATGTCTGTTAATCAAAATTATAAAAAAGGACATAAGAAATTTTCAAAAATAATTTTTTTTAAATGGATAAGCATGTAAAACATGCTTGAATTTCTTTGTGACATGTCTCTATTATCATTTGTAATGGAGACATGTCACTTAAATATTTAAAGTTAATGTTAATGACAATTTAAAGTTAATGTTTTATAAGATTTTGGTTACATGCAAGAGTAAAAATAAATAAATAATAATAATAATAATTTGTTTGTTCTCCATAATATGACTGACACGAGACAAAAATTTTTTCTCTAGATATTTAGAATTAATGGAGACATGGAAAAAATGCATTGGAAAAGATGGTAATTGTATTATATAAAAAATCCAGCAATGAGTTGTGTAACTTTCCTGGCAAGAGTTAAAATTCTTTTTGGTGTCATCTGTTATGAGATTTTATTTAAAAAACTTTTATTACTATAAATTAGTATAAAATGGCAAAAAGCTTAATTTTCAGGGTAGAGATGAATTTTATAAAAAAAAAAAAAAATTGTAAATGTCAATAATGAAAAAATCTTCATTAAATCCGACTCCACTTGAGATATGACATGTGACCATCACTAACTCTCCACCCCCTGACATTTAACCATCAAAATTTAATAGCATCAATTCCCTTAATATACAAACTTTCTTGCAAAATTTCAGAAAGTTTCGACAAAAGGCACAGGAGTTATTAAGCTTCAAAATAGGTGAACAAAATCATGTCCCCACACATGCACACAAAAAAATCTCCAAATATTTTTTGCATTTCTTGATGTTTCAAGATCCAGAGTCCAAAAATATAAAAATCTTAGAGGAACATTTTTTGACTTGTTTGACTAATCATGTCTACAACTTGGTTAAGTTACATGTTGGTTGAAAAACTGAAAATATTTAACACTGATTAAATACAATTTTTCTCTCTTAAAAAATTTACAATTATTAAATATTTCTATTAGTGAACCAAATTCATACTGCTTTTCTCAGAGTGAAAAGTTGTTAGAAAACTCAAATGTTGCTTTTGAGCTTATGCATATCATCAGAAGTAAAACAAAATTTTTTTTCTTGTTGAATCTCAAGAATCGTAATAGAAATTAGATTTACATTTGAACATACATGATTACTAGTAAGGACACATTAAAAATATATATTCTTACTGATGATAATTTTTTTTGTTTTTTGACTGTTTGAAATGTTACTTCTGAGTAAAGGTAATGTTCTTAGTAATTTACTTAGAATAGAAATTTCATATTTCAATTAATTTTTGTTTTTAAGTTTTTTCAAATTTTTATAAATATTAATACTGTACTATATATAAAAAGCATTATTTTATAATATTTTTATATATTCCAAAAAAGAATTTATGTATAGTAATATATTTTATATTTAAATTATTTGTTTAGAGATGTTTTTGTAACTTTTAAAATTATTTCATGTACTTATTACGTGTAAAATAACTTACTCAAATCTTTAAAAATATCAATAGCTAAATAGAATGACTGTAGCATTTTTATTTGGAGTTTACTTGTTACGAAGTTCAAATTATTATTTACTAACTGAAGATAAAAATAAAAATGATCTCAATACTTTGTTTAATAAATATTAATTTACATAGTTTTTTTATATACAAATATTTTACATAAATATTTACATAATTTTTTTTCTTAAAATATTCATATTTCAAATTTCCTATAATTTTAAATTTACTTTGGTTTAATAGAGTTTCGTTAAAAAAAATTGAAACGATTACTGTACTCGTTATATAATTTTATTTTATTTTTTATTTACATTTCCAAATTGGATAGTTTCCAATTTTATTTCTCCAAACTTTTAATAATAATATGGTATATCTTACCAAGACTTGTTTTTTATTCTTTCTGCCCTAAGGGCACCAAGAGGACCTTTCTTCTTCAGGCCCATTGAGTTCAAATAGACTCATAATGGGGCAACCAGAAGGTGAAAGATGAAGCCCAATATATCTGAGAGAAAAATTTCAAGAATTTTCTCAACTTGTCTGGATTCAATCCTGGGCTCTGCACAGCAGTTAGGCTTCCACCTTAACCACTTGGCCATACAGCCAAGTGGTTAAGGTGGCAGGTTAGGTAGTCTACCACTCTGGGGACCTGTCTGGGAATAAATCTGGGAATAAGATTTGATCACAGGAATTTCCCAAAAGTGATAAATCCCAGATATTTTAGACCCTGTCCCTCCCTTGTGGGCTACATTGAGCCCATAATGGTTATAGAAGAAACTGTTGCTAGCTCCTGAATAACTTCTGCTCTTTGTTGGACAGATTATACAATAACTCCTACTTTTTTCCCCTCCTATAAAACAACCACCCACTCTGTATGTGTCCTGCGATAATTTGGGGACCTCTGACTACAAATTTCTCACAATTTCTCAAGCCTTTATGAACTGAAAGAAAATTTGCCCTTTAACTCCACTTCCACTTTTTTCTAATCCAACTAATTCTTTATTGTCTATTTTCACATGGGCAGGTGAGACTTGTTCAAGCATATATATATATCTTCCATACTGCTTGTGTGGAAAATATACAGTCTGGTGCCAGTGCCTTTAAATATAAAGGAAGGATGACAACCAGTCCCATTGATGTCTTTGTAAATTTCTTAACTTCCCAATGGCCCTATTTACTCTGCATTTCCAAACAGACATCAAGAAATCTCTACTCCTCACATTAACCACTCAGCAGTGAAGGATGGATATATCCATCTTGGGCGATTGTGTGGCAGTGGTGAAGGATGGATATATCTGTTAAATTCTTTTGGGAGTATCGCCAAAATCTACCGTGAAAAAAATTCACATAAAAAACGAATTATGTAACAACAAAAAAAGACTTTTCTTTACTAGACATAACTGTTTATAAAATCTTTTTCCGAAACGGTAATGAGAAAAAAATGCGTGAAAAAATACTTTAAAAATTTCCCACATTTATTCTCCACTACTTTGGGATAGCACCATACCTGACTATTTCACTATTGAAAGGTTAAAACCCTGAATTTACCCCCTTCTTAGAAGTCATATCACCGCCACAAACTTGTTTTTCACCTCTTCTAATATTCTAATTTTCCAATTTCATATTAACCTCCTTTCTCAAAGCCTACTCTGTTAATACCATGGTGATCTTCCTCCTCTTGCAGTCTTTCCTGTGCTCCTTCAATCCATCCCCAAGTACTTTCTCATTATCCTCATATAACACTTCTTTTCCTCCCTGCTATCTTCTATTATTGGTAGTACAGTATATAGACTCCAGCTTTATCCTCTTCTCTTTCTCATTCTTCAACAAATCAAATATTATTCTATACATAATCCTTTCCTGAGTCATTTTTTACTGACCTTTTATAAAAACCCTTTCCATATTCTCTAACATAATGTGCTGGAACTCTTTCCTTCTGGTCTATGCCCAGTTTGTCCAGAGTCTTACTACTCTTCCTCACTCTAATACTGACATCATGTATCTCTTGAACATACCCTTGGATATACTATGTCACTTAGCAATCCTTTCAAAGTAGCTGCTCTTTCCTAAACGCCTTTCAATTTTAGAATCAGTTGATAGCCCTTCTTATCGATGTTTCAAATATTGATAATGTACAGTATAACTCCATGGATCTCCAGAATTGTATCAAATGTATATTGATCTAATATACCTTTCCTATATCCCCTTGCTTCATAACCAGCTATCCAAAGATCTAAGAACAATCTTTCTCTATTACTCTTGCTCCTTTTTTGAGAGTTAGACTGAAACTTCTGTCTGAAAAAGCATCTATAAATGCATCTAGTTTAACATGCCACTATTCTGATAATGAGAATATATTGTGAGAACTGGGAGTTTGATAGGAAACATTTTTATGCTTTTAAAAGAGATTTTTAGTCAATATTTTAGAATAGTTTTAAAGCTGTAAAAAGATAGAAAGTTTATCTTTCTTGTCATCTTCACACTTGTGAATCATTAGAGAAGTGAATTNTTATTTTTTTAATGTACAACTTAGCTTTAATTTGAGTGTGTTTTTCGTGTTGGAACGAATTATTTGGTTTTACATGTAATCGTATGGAGAAAAATGATTCACCTTACGACATTTTCATGATACGATCTCAGTTTCGGAACGGATTAATTTCGTATCCTGAGGTACCACTGTACATGTCTAAAAATGTATATACTATAATGTTAAAATACTTAAACAAACAGCTAGATGTCAATAGTTCCACTTACATTATACTAATGACATAATATTTTGCAATCTCAATTTTATAGTAATGAAAACTTATTAATACACTTCCTCTAAAAATGTAAATAAAATACTACACAGTTTCCAGTACACTTTTGTTACAGTATTACATGTAATTACTGTCCAAATGTTACAGGTACAGGTATCCCTCATATAACACAGTAGATACATTCTGAAAAATGTTGTGTGTTATGCAAATCTGTGCTATATAAAACAAAAGACTAATACAAAGCATAAGATTAGGTTCCAAAAGTTAACAAAAGTATACTATCCCTTTTTGTTACTAAGAGAAATGTGTTTATTAAAACAATCAATTTATTTCCAATCAATAATTAACTAACAATCACAATTAAAAGTACTATATTATGCATAAATATTAATTTTAGTTAAATGAGAGCATTTCCTTTTTACAAAGTACAGTTGTCTTCTGAGCATTTTTGTTGATCTCGATCAGAAATATCAATGTTTTCATTTTTACCATAAACATTTTTTTCATGTATGACAAAATAAAAATATGTTATTGATCGAAAATTTGTTCTAGTGGGTCATGTTTGTTCAATTGAGAACCAAGTGAAGGATACAGATATACAAGATGCAAAGCATGTATAGGAGTGCAAATATTGTCTGTCTGAGGAATGGTGAAGATACATGTAACATTTGGACAGTAATTACATGTAATAACAAAAGTATACTGAAAACTGTATAGTATTTTATTTACCTTTCTGGAGGAAGTGTATTAATAAGTTTGTATTACTATAAAATTGAGATTGCAAAATACAGTGGGTGATCGGTTAATGAACAGTTTGGGCTACAAACAAACAGAATAACGAACACTTTCGTGAAAGATTTTTATATTTGGACAATGAATACCTCACAGAACAAACACAAGAAAAAGCAATGTAAAATAATGAATACTGATTGGTCTTCCCTTGTCTTCAGGCAACAATTCAAAAGTTTTTGGTCCACGGGAGATGTTGACATCGATGCTCAATCCGGTATATACTGGTCAGATAGTATTCCTCCAAATTTTGAAACTCTCCCTTGTAATTCCAGCCTTTTATTTTTCTGACAGAAACAATTTTTTTATAGTATTCACGAGACTGTTGGGTGTGCAATCATTAAGTTTTACGTGGGTTTTTATTTTCGAAAAGTGAGAGTATAATAGCAAAGCTAGAGAGTGGGAAGAAGATGTCTGATGTTGCTGGGCAGTATGGTTTGAACAGGTCTACAGTATGCTGCAGTTCAATATTATCTAAGAAAGATACTGTATAATCAAGAAGACTCAAGCAGCTAAAGGAGTAACAAAAATTACATCTGAGAAATAAAGAACATCGAAGAGTTCATAATGGAACCTGAAACTGATCTGACGACAGAAGAACGCCAAGAACTCTTGAATGAAGAACACCAAGAAACTCGGTGAGATATGTTTTCTTCTGAAAGAGAGGATTAATACCGATATCTGTTATTAAAGATCTTTTGAAGTGGGAGGATGTCAGAACAATGGTCTTAGAATGGCATCCAAACCAGGTTGAGGTTAATAGGCTTGGGGATCTCTACAATTACAATGCTATTACAGTAGAGTGTTGATTATCCGAATCAATTGGGGACTGGGGTTGTTCAGAAGATCAATGTTTCAGATAACCAATTAGGTACGAAAAAATATATTAATTTATCCCATCTTGACATTTTTCTCCGTTGCGTGTCGCTTCNGTCCATAAATTTTAAAACAGGAATTATAAAAAAAAAAAAAATCACAAGAGAAAGTTAATGTATATTTATACAAAGTATGATCCATTGGCATGTATGCATGCTTTAGTGAAGTTTTTTTTTATAATTTTCAGATCACAGAAAATCTCTCTTCTGATTGTCTTTAATTCATTGGTCACAGCTTTTTGGATTATCTGAATGTATACAAATTGGTATCCATTAAACTTCAATTTCAATTTCAGAGAAATAGAAAATCTAGAGAGGACAAATCTGAGTAAAGTTGTGATAAATAGTGGGAATTCTTTTGTGCATCAACTTTTCATGCAAACTTTCATCTTTGTAAATGGATGTGCTACCAGCAATAGAAAAAGAATTGTGGAACCAGAATGTGATGGGATACTATCTTTTAAAATTTTACATTTACTCTTCTTTCTGGTACAAATTCTTTGTAAACCATGCATTGTGAGTCAAAAATCAATGTTATTTTAATACATGACATTTTAAATTTTAATCTTTGGTCTGAGATGTTAGACCTCTTTAAAGTCTCATTACAATATGTCTTCTGTACCAGTTTTAGTTTCAGTAGCAGAAAGACCTACTTTAAAACAAAGTTTAATTGCAGTTTTCACTTTTTGAATCCATGACGCAGCAACAGAAACACAGTTTACAATAGACATTATAACTCAAAAATTTCTGAATGCACTCCAGTACACTGCAGGTGAACACACAATATTTGCTATTACTTAATTAATACATTGGGCAATACATCATTATACCATTGTTTTGGCAAAAATGAACTAGAACTTAGGGATGGACCACACCGGGATAATTTAAGAATTAAATTTATAAACTCATAAATAATATAAACTCATAAGGGATATGATTCATGCACTATGGAAAAAATTTTAATGCAAATTTTAAATCACTAATTACAGTAGAACCTCCATTATCCGGACCTCCATTATCCGGATTTTCGATTATCCGGATTGTTCAAAATAAACAAAAATTTTACGAATTTGCTGATTTGCACTTGGCGAATTACGACACTGTTTATGTACGTGATGGAATGCATAACTTTTTTT